ACACATATTTGTCATTCTTATATTTGTTTTTATTGCTTTAATTTTCTCTTTTATGTATTTATTTATTGTTGTTATTTCTATTACTGTACTTGTATTTTTTATGTTTCTTTATTTTTTATTTATTTTTGTTTTTCTTTTTTTTTTTGCTTGAGTTTTATCAAAATTTTTTTTTATCTATTACTTAATATATTGTTTTAGTCATTTGTCTTATTTTTTTATATATATTTTTGATGTGATTGGTTCTTCTTTTAGTATTATTGGAATTTTTTTATTACTTATACTTTTTATTATTATTAGATATTGACTTGTATGATTTATTTTTTCTGTTTATTTTTTTATACTAGTTAAATCTCTTATGTTTATTTTAATTATTGTTTTGTATATTTTTTTTAGCATTATTATTTTTATTAAATTGTTTTTTATAATGTTGCTATAACTATATTTTTTATATTAAAGTGGTTGTCTCTATTTACTAATTCTTGTTTTAACTTTTTACTATTTATAAGTTTTAATATTATCTCTATTCTTTCACTTATTAATTTTAGTGTTATTGATTCTTTTGATTTTATTTATATTATTATTTGATTATGTTTATGTAACTTTCTTAATTTAAGGGGTGTGGCGACCTAGTGAAGTAGTCAGGTTGTCAACCCCCAAGTGGCAGGTCTAGAGTTCAAATCTCATGGATGACGAATTTTGAAAAATAAGGTTTGTGTTATGGTAATTGTCTCTGTCAATCAGTTGGATTTGTGTATTTGTAATCTTTGTTGCACCATCTCGAATAGGAGCTTGGGGCATCTATGCAAAGTGTAACATTACACCTATATAGAAGAATGTTAATAACTGGTGTTGCATAAGACTTCAGTGCAAACCCACAATAAGACCACTGGGCATAGAAAGCAAAGGAACCAAAGAGTCAGAAACCCACTTGAAAATCTTAAGTAAAGAGGTAGCATGGACTTTCAATAGTATTACCGAACCATCGAAAGGCCCCAAAAAAGGATTACTAGAACCTCAGATGGATCGGATGACAACATGTATAGAGAAGCACATACCAACCAGGCTACTGGGTTCACCAGATGGGCCATCTGGATTAATAGTTTGGGAAGTCTTGTGGGTCTTGTAGGTTCAGAAGTAGGGCTGTGAAAGTTAGGAAAGGAAGGTATCGGGGTCCCTGTAAACTTTACAAGGGTATAGCGGTTTAATGGTTAGCCTTGACTGCAAGTGATGGTCTAGGCCAGAGCAGTACTGGGTTAGCTGTAAGTATAGGATATGGAAGGCTCTGGTGGGCTTAGTATAAAGTTAAACATGACTTAGTAACCATGGTATATTTGCAGCAATGACTGCAATTGATAGGGTAGGGGTGAATACGGGAACTAGAGTATTTAAATAGAGAACCCACAGGCGGGTTTTAGGTATGGCAACTAGTGTAGAACCCTCGGGCGGACTACTTAAAATAGACAATGACTAAAGTTGTATGAATGGCTAGTTGTACACTCTTTTCATGATTGCCTCTGTAGCTGTTGTACACAATAGTTATATGCCAACTGATTATCAATAAACTTCTGGGTTGCAATTACTCACCTTAATATTAAAAAAAAAAAAAAAAGTAACTTTCTTAATTTATCTTTATTATGTGCATTTTGTAATACTTATATGTTTATTTTGTCTATTTTTGTATATATTTGTTTATTTGTTTTTTTATATGTTTACAATTTTAGGTTAATACTATTTTTTTAAAATTTTGTTTTTTGGTTTTTATTTTATTAAATTTGTTTTCTTTCTATTTGCTATATTCTTTATTTTTTTTTGTTGTTACATTTACTAAGTTTATTTTAAATGCTTTTTTTTTTATCTAAGTTTTTAAATATGAGTTTGATACTGGTTTTTATGAAACTTCAATTTTTTTTTTTGTAAATTTTGAGTTCTGATGATCAACAAAAAGAGTTTCTTTAAATATTATATTTAATTTATTATAATTATATATATATATTTATTTTTTATTGATTATTCAACCTTTATAATTATATGTTTTATAAATTCAATATGATTTGTATTAAAACTCTTATTTGATGTTAATCAAAATTATATAAAGATCAGATGTATTTATTAATAAAAATAAAATATTATTAAATTTATTTAAAATGTAAGTTGTATTAATATTAATTACTTGTAAGTTATTGAGCATCAAATCAAGGTTTTATGATAGTTATAGGTATACTGTGAGATTTTTTTATTTCACCAGATCTTCAAAGCATGGAGGTTTTTGAAGTAATTTCGTATATTAGCCGTGCATAGGAGAAATTTTTGCTTTTTAAACATCTTTGGGTAAAACAAATTATAAAGGGTCTACAGGAGCATGTAGGACATTCGAATCCGATAAATTCTGGGAACTACGTTAAAAAAATATTTAGATTGCATAGTACTGTAAAATCGGCCGTAGTGAGTAGGTCTAGAGCTGCATCAAGCTAGTCTAAAAGGCTATATAAATATAGACTTAGTTTATCAAATCAAACTATTATTATTATTTTACAATACTAGACCATTCTGTTAGTACATGTTATGATTATAATTCCGCTAATACATGTTATATTAACTGAAAAGTAATAGAAAATAGTAAATAATTTGTATCAAATACCATCATAAATATGCCATCACATTGTAAGCAAACATATTTAATAAATGAAATAATAGCTTATCGCTTATAGGTATATCAAGAATTTGTACTCTTATTGATTTTCTTTTCGATAATGCAAAATACACGTTTACAACAAAGAACGCTTTTTTTATAAATTTATTATATAATTTAAATTTAATTCTAAAGCGTAAGACCTAAGAATTAAGTCTCCAGCCCACAAAACGTCGGGTGTTACTTTTGTTGGCTATTGTACATACGCACACTCGAGCATGTAATTCAGTGATCGCTGTGTATTTTAGAAATGGTCAAAAATTCTTCCACACTCATCCTTGATAATCAAATAAAAAATTCCTATCCAAAAAAAAGAAAAATACCAAAGATTCAGTGAGTAAACATGTCATTTTGCATTGGGCCACCAAATATTTATACACAAAAAAAAAACAAATATATATATATATATTTTACCATTATTTCTTCGAATATCATAGCAGAACAGTTGCGCAAAAAAGTTGCCCGCTCAGCAAATCAAAATATCCAATCGCCAAGTAAAGTGATGACTCAAAAAATTGACAGTCCCGTGATTTTTACCCAATTCAATTGTAAGACTTTTCTAATCGCATTTGGGATTGGAACCGTTTAACCGTTTAAAAATTGCTCCATAGTTCTCGGGAAGAATTATATTGGTCGTGGGCTGCGATTATTTTAATGGCAGCCAAATTAAATGGTTAAACGGTTAAATGATTAAGAAAATGTTTAGGCGGTTTCAATCCCTATATACAAGATACGCGGACTACGAGATTTATTCCTGCTAAGGTTTCAAAATATTTTCCTATACTTTTAAATTTGGCAATTTTAAACGGATCTTCAAGGGCATTAATTCAATTCTAAAATATGCCACTGATTCAGATACTGTTATTGTTAAACTACATATCATTTACTCAATTTGATCCACCAAGGCTAAATGAACCGCCAAATGTAACACATTAATAATTCTTCATGAGTTATTTGGCTCAAAACAGAATTGGAGATAATACTCGTGGTTTTACTTTGGTAAAGATTAATTTCACATATAATTATTGATTTTTATATATTTTTAAACTTTAGGACTACATTCTGAAGCGCATAATTATGAGGTTATGGCCAAAGATGAACATTTGTAATGGGTAATTATATGTATGTGTATCATATCTAAAAAAAAAACCATAAACTTGTTCTAACTAAAATTTAAATCAAATTCACGTGCATGAAGTTGAATACCCGGAACAGAGTCCCTAGAAATTTCTGCGTCATGACATAAGTGTTGCTTTAGGTAACAATTATCTACGTACGTAGTACGTATATATGTTTATTAGCAGTTAGTATATATTGTTATGATGTGACCATAAATGAAGGTATAATACGTACGTACGTATTCACATTAGTTTATTAAATTCAAGGTTAAAAAAAGTTACTTATTTTTACATGGATACGTAGTCTGTAAAAAGACATCTGAAACATTTAGATCAATCTGAAATAACATTTAAAAAAAAAGATTGTACGTACGTGATTATGCAAGTAATATGAAATTTATGAGAAACCATTTAACGTTAATTTTTAAAATTAACTTATATCTGTAATATACATTGCGCTACTTACGTACAGTACATACGAAAGTACATACCTGATACGTACAGCAGTACATACATTTGTACATATATTCACGTGCGTTTAAAATATCGACTTAGTGTACTTATCCTACTTATCACTACTGAAACAATATTTATATTTTGTGCAATGCAGTCGAATTTATTGAATTCTTTATTAATACTGGTTTGTAAATAGAATAATAAAATGTCTAATTTTATGTAATAAATGTCTAATTTTATCCAATTAAATAACCGATAGAGTTGCAATGTACGTTTTTATAATAAAGTTTCGTTTTTTTTATGCATACTTTAAATAAAAATATTTACGTTTATCGTTAGATAATGGTAAAAAGGATATAATTGGAATTTTGTGTAACATCATATGTAATAATTGTAAATAAGTTTTTTGCATTGTTTTCACTGTGAAAATTCTAAAATTAATTACACCAATTGTAATTTCACAAAATAATTCTTAACAAAAAATTCAAGAACATAAAAATTTAAATTTCACACAATTCACTGATATTTCTTTAATGAAAAAAAATATTCTAACAAATCCCTAAGATACAAATTAATTCAATATTTGTACAATATATATAAAAAAAAAAAATATAAGCATAACGTATGGTATTATAACGTATAGTATCACAATAAGTTAATAATATTGTTCTCAAAAATTTCATTGCTTCATTAAAAATATATCAAGTGTTAAAGAATGAAATTCATAAATTTCTGGCTTATAAGTCGTAAGAACAATTGTTCAAATCATCTGGCTGTCCCTTCTGTCGTCAAAAATGCCGCTCCTATATTTCATGAAAATATAATTAATGAAATTGTTTATAATGACAACAACTAAATTATCGTATAAATTATTAATTATTACAAACCTCCTCCATATCCATAACCCTGAAAAAATTAAAATATAATTATTAAGTGAAAATAATATTTATAATTCAATGAACCTTTCATTATTATTACCTTTGGTCCAAATTCTCTAGAATAACAAGAAGTACAGTAAAGTTTTCCTTCACGGTCTGTCATGTTAGTAGAATTTAAAAATTTACTACAACTCTCGCAACGTAGACACAATTTGTGATATTTTATTCCAGCTCCCATAACCTTATTAATAAAAACATTAAATTAATGGTTAATCATAGTTACGATTATGTGAAAAAGTTTTTCACTAAATAATATATATATAAATATTTACCGCTTCTGCTGCGTAAACAGCTTTTGAACAACGTGGACATTTATCGTTATTAGTAGGAAAAGTCCAACTTCGTTTAGGACTTTTTGAAGATGGAGATTTAGTACTAAACATTCCATAAGGTTCTGACGAAGGTTTTGTTGCTGAATTTGGTGGCGATTGTGAAAGTTTATCCGAATTCGTGTCATCTTTTGAATTACCATTAAGTCTTGAAACTGGTTTATCCGTACTCAGAAAAGACGTGCCAGATGCAAATCCATAACCTTTAACAGATAGTCAAATTTCGATTTATTAACCTGTGATCTTCCTAGCAGATGATCTGATAACCCATTTGATAGACTTGAAAAAAAAGCTACCTTTTGGTCCGAAACGGCGACCATGACAGGTCTTACAATATGCCTATATTACACAAATTTCTTTATCATTATTATCTCATCTCTATCGATGATCAATTTTTTAACTTATTTAACTATATTACCTCTCCATCATGTTCTGCAAGAGCATACGAATCCAAGCGTTTCTTACAATCCTTTTTTCAAATATAAACCATTAAAAAACATAAATAAAGTATTGAAAATTATAATAAATAATGGTTCGTGTATTACTTACAATGCAAGTAAGACAGGTTCTGTGCCAAGGTCCAGTAGGGCCGATTACCTATATTAATAACCAAAATGTTAAATTATCAAAAAAGTTAAACAACCTAAAAATATGTAGCATTACCTGTTCGGCCATATACACTGGTTTCTTGCAACGTGGACACTGTGGAGTACTACCCCAACGTGAAGACATTTTCTTAATATAATAAAGTATGCGTTACAAAAAAAAAAAAAATTTCGTTGCAGAAAAGGAGTTTCGTTGCAGAAAATGAGTGGTAAAGGTATTGGTCCTTATTTTCCAACAAATTCAATTAATTTTACGGAGTAGCATGTATTTATAAGGGGTAAAATTCGTGGAGACAGAAATCAATTCGTTGTGTAAAATAAATCATATTGGCTAAAGCGATTTCTAATTAAGGAATTATGATATTTACATTAAAAGTTAAATAATGATTCACAAAATATTTTTTTTTATAATATTAATAAAAAAAAATTATTTAATATCATAAATAACTTTAAGGAGATAATAATAAACTGTTGTGTAAATTCTATTGATAGATTTTTTTTGATTTGTAATGTCTACTTCTGAAAAAAAACTTCGTAAAACTCAAAAGCACAAATCAAAGAAAAATGTTACTTTTGATACCCAAACGCGAACTTCTCCTCAAACTAAATTATCAAAAAAACAACACCTTCTTAAACAATCACTTGAAACTCGTCAAAGTTTTGAACTATTAAGTCTTGAATGGCAAGAAAAACTTTATGAAACTGTCTCTTTGGATCTTTTACGTGATTCGGTACTTAATTTACAACTTTACACTCAGTCATATATCTTATAGATCTACTTCTTTTTATTCGTTTATATTAATACTTAGTATTTCTTATAGGCAAAATATTTATTACCGCATCATTATGAAGAAATAATTGAAGAAAGAAACGCAAGTAAATTGTGTGGGTACCCCATTTGTTCAAAACCTCAACAAGTATATACATATACTTTTTTTATTTTATTTAAAAGTTATCCTTTATAATCTTATCAATACTAGTAAATTATTTTAAATTTATAGTTAATTCAAGGTCAATACAGAATCTCATATCATGCAAGAAAAATCTATGATATATCTAAATTAAAAAGTTATTGTTCAACATCATGCTTTGTTTCTTCTAAATTTTTCTCTGTTCAACTATCGGATGAACCCTTGTATTTGAGAAATTTACAAAATTGGAAATCAGTGGATGTAATCCCACTTGGAGTAAATCCTAGGTAATCAATAATAATATATTTTAATTTATTTATTTATTAATTTATTTATATTTAATTAAAATTAATTATTTTTCGGTTTTGAAAGTGATCTAATAAAACAAGATCTGTCTAAAAATGACATTATTCATCCTGATTTAAATCAACGTACTGATTATATAAAAAATTTGATGGCTGATCTTCCACCTGCACCTGTGGAATTAATAATCAAGGAAAAGGAAGACCATGAATTGAGTACACCATTGGCTCCATCACCTAATCAACAAGATACATATAATGTTGTAGAAGGTTTTCATCTAAATTCTCAAAATGTGAAAAATCTTAAAAATGAGAGTACACATTCTTCTATCGATTCAGATACTAAACACTTGGATTTTCAAAATGATGAAAATGAGAGTATACAATCTTTTGCCGATTCAGATACTAAACACTTAGATATTCAAAATGATAAAATTGTAGATAAAATTATAGATGAAAATGTAGATAAAGTTGTAGATGAATATTTAGATAAAAATGTAGATGAGAACGTAGATGAAAATGTAGAAGGAAGTACACAATCTACCAATTCAGTTACTAAAAAAACATTACCTCAAAAAAAAATCGTAAAGAAAAAAAAGAAAGCCGTTTTACAAATGTCATTGTTTGGTAAAATCTGGACAGCTCTAGATAGAATGACAACACCGAGAACCAGGAAACATTTTCAGGGTGTGAACTCTCTTACTTTAAATAATGATGATTCATCACCACTTTGTGATGATGTTATGATTATGAGACTTCAAATTTTCACAGAGAAAATCATGCAATGGTTAGTTTAAAAAACTTTTTTTTTTAATGTATATTATAGTTTATTATAAGTTGGAAAAAAAACATAAAATATTCATTACTTTTATTTTTGTTATTAGTTTCAACCTTCTTAAGAAACAACTTCATATCACTGCCAATATTGAAAGTGAACTTATTGAACTAACAAGTACTTTTACTTTTGATAATTCTTCTGTTATGCTCACCGATTTAGAAAACCATATATTATGTATGGTATTTATATACACGTAAGTAAATATTTTTTGTGATGTAACAAGGTGTAGGATTGATTCCCATGATAATGATCTGTGTGGTATATGAGTGATCAACAGTACCTATTTTTACAATCTAATTTTAAATAATACGTAACACTGGTTATATTACCTATATTATGTACGCAGATCAGTATAGTATAGTCCAAATTTTAAAATCTATACCATACTGATCCGGTATAGCTAATTATAGCTGATCAATATATTATAACTTTTACTCCCTTCATTTTAATTTCGACTACGTAATGATCTGATCATTACATGAAGGGAATATCAATCCTACTTCCTTACGCTTCTTATGTTATTAATTCATTATTGATGATTATTGATCATAAATTATAGATTATCAATCGATATCCCAGAACTTTATGAAAATATTTTTTCTTCAGGAAATGATAAAAATGGTCCATTTAAAGATTTACATGGAAGTTTAAAACTTACAATAGAAGAGATGGACGCATTCGTTAGAGTACTTCGTGTTGGATCGACATGAATATACAATTATTAATAATTAAAAAAAAACCTTTAAAATAACTTGGACGAATTGATAATTTTGAAATGATAGTCTTCAAAAAAAATTTTTAAATCTGTGGATCAAGTATATAAATAAATTAATTAATAATCCCCTTTTTTTTTTTTTTATTAATGTACTACGTATACTTGATCAAAATCTGCAAATGTTCTAAACTATAATTCGAAAATTCCTACTAGCCATGTTTGTATTTTGTATTGCTTACATAATGTTATTGTATAATGTTCCCGAAAAAAGTCGTTGCGTAATGTTTCCAAAATAATATTTTACGTCATAATTATCCCCAAAAATTTGTAATTTCGCATAAAAATTAAAGTACAGTATCAATCAACAATTAGGGATAAGGCAAAGTAGTTAGATCACAAAAAAAGTGTAGGCCCCGTAATCATCAAGCCCATCCGGATTTAAATCAGACTGTACATTCGTATAATCACATTTATATGTAAAAAGTACGTAATTTCAAATTGTGTTTCTAGAAACTTTGTCAGAAGTATTATTTATAATAGATTTAATATATAATATAGATAAGAGTTGCAAGTTGTAAAATAAAAGAAATTTATTGAAACTTGTTAAATGATTATATATTTTAAGTAGGTCAGAAATTTGAATATTGGGTTTTTTTTTGATAGTATTTGTTATTAATAAATCAATAGTATCATTTGTGTTATTTGTTAATAATTTATAATTATTATTAGTAATGTTTAAGTTTATTAGAATATTAATAAAAATGTTTGATATATGAGATTTTTTAAAAATAAGTAAGAAATTATTCTTAGAAAAAATATTTTTAGAAGAATGTACTAAATTGTTATCTAAGAAGTTAAAATTTCCTTCTATAAATGCACTTACTGTATATTTAGTTTTCACAATTGCAGAGAATACCATAATTGTACTATATGTTGGATCTGATTATTATTAATCTGGTTCTTTATATAAATATATTTTTCTGCTTGCCTACTTATATTATTCTCTTCTAAAAATAACACATTTTTAGTAAAGAACATTATTATTTTGGAAATAACAGCTATATTTATGTTATTTATAAAAAAATTTATTAAAAAAGTAAATTATATGAAATAGTCAAGAATAAAAAAAAAAGTGTTGTTTTGTATTAAAAAAATTTTAATATTATAATGTTTAATAATTAATTTTTCTGTTTCTAGATGATATTTTTAATTATAATCTAGTTAAATTTTAGTAATAAAGAATTTAAATTAATTTTGAATATAAAAATAAAAAATTATATATGCTAAGATATATAGACTAATAGTAAATATAATAAAGTTTTTTAAAGAATAATTAAGTTTAAGACTTGTAATATTATTATTTATAGTTGCAATATTTAAATAAGTTTTAAAATAAAAATAAAGATAAAATGCAATTTATTTTGAATTAGTTTCTGTAGCATTAATTTTAGCAAGCTCTTTATCTGCTTTAAGTACAAGTTTATTTAGTATATAAAGTAAAATAATTTTTTTGAAAGTTGTTATATATTGCTAATTAAGTAAAAAAATTGAGTAATTAGAAGTAAAAGGTATTGCTTTGAAAATAGTGTTTTTTTTAAAGATGCAAAAAGATTTCATAAGATTTTTTAAAAAAATAAGTAGTTATGTTTTTAAAATTATATTCAGTATCTTTGAATAAAAGTTTGCAGTTTTTGTTCTAGCATGTATAAACATAATAAAATGCAACTTTGATAGTTAAATAATAATAATTTTAAAGAGAAGTAGGTTCTGTAACTTAAAAATCTAAAGGTAAAAACTTTTTGGCAAATGTAGTTGCAATTTGGTATTTAATATAGTTTCTAACTTTGTTTTTATTAATATTTGTAAATTATTTTTGATAAGCTTTAACAAAGTCTGTATACTATATATTAAAAATGTAAATATATAGTTTAAATAATAGAATTTAAAAAGTATTAAAAAATCTAATTTTGAAAATATTAAAAATTATAGTAATTGTAAATTAGTTATTGTTATAAATACTACCAAAGATTTTAAAATATCATATTTAAAGTTATATTTTATCAAAAGTTTAAAAAGATAAAGCTCTAATTTGCCAATAAATTTTTAATAATAAATTGTTTAATATTTGTTATAAAAAAATAAATATAGTTAAACAAAATTAATTGCTACTTTGTAGCAATCAAAGATTGAATAAGACAATATTAAGTAATAAAAATAAAAGAGATGTAAGTAATTTAGTTTAGTTCAACAAACTCTTTCTAATGATCATTTGAACCAAACTTTTCAAAAAGCCAAACTACAGAAAATGATATAGTTAATATATTAAACTTTATGAAAACCTTTCTGA